GAGAGAGAGAGAAGAGGAAGGAAGGAAGGAAGGAAGGAAGGAAGGAAGGAAGGAGTTACTTAACAATCATAGCCTCGTTAAAAAGGGCAAAATTCATTCAACAGATATCAAATCAAATCAAATGTTTATTGCCAATGCACAACATGTGTACAATGACACTGAAAATATATCTCACTTAGCAACATAAATTTCGGGCTCGGTTGTGGTCATCAGTCGAGGACTCCCCGTGTTAGTTCCAAGGAGAAACTTCCTAGCAGCAGGAACAATTCACCGGTGGAACAACCTGCCTCTGGAGGTTTTTAAGACGAGATTGGACAGCCACTTGTCTGAAACGGGGTCTCCTGATTAAGCAGGGGGTTGGACTAGAAGACCTCCGAGGACCTTTCTAAGCCCTAAGAGGCTCTCATTAGCCAGTTGTCCATGGGTGAGGGATCCATCCCTTGAAATGGTGCCAAACCATGATTGGAATTCTAACCTGAGAACAGACACCCATCTCTCCCTCACCTCCTTTCTCCTTCGTCCTTTTATTATTGGCCTTTTCTGCATCAAAACGTCCCCAACCTGGTGCTCCCAGCCTATGTTGGCTTAGATTCAGGTCTGCTGCGAAGAGCAGCTGTTAAGCCAACATCTGTGCAGGATGCCATATTTGTCCTCAGCACGCCTTTTCCTATCATTGTTCTCATTTATCATTCCACTGTATGGACTGGCCTATTTTTAAGGGAATAAGAGTGCCAACGATGTGAAACACCCAACGCCTGGGGCACGTTTGGGCTGAATGGAGAGTTAAACCCACGTTCAGTTCACGCTTGCAAATCGGTCTTTCTCAACCTTGAACAGCTTGAAGATACGAGGACTTCAACTCCTGGGAGTTGAAGTCCACGTATCTTCCAAGCTGCCGTGGTTCAGAGACATTGATGTAAACCTGGAAGAAAGATTTCAACATCTGCCTTATTCCAGAATTATAACCCTCTGGAATCAGCACAGGGAAGAATAGTGTCTAGGCACTTCAAAGCTTCAGAACTGCGTCATGACCCAAAAAATTCAGAGTAAGGTCACTGCAAGCTATGTTTATACTCGGCTATAGGAAAGATGGCGTCATCTTCCAAGGCTTTGGTGCGATGTCTGGTTTGGTTTAATGGTTAAGCCCCCAGGCTAGAAGGAGACTGTGAATTCTAGTTCCACCTTAGACATGAAAGACAGCTGGGTGACTTTAGGCCAATCACCAGGAGACGGTGAGTTCTAGTCCCGCCTTAGGCATGAAAGCCAATTGGGTGATTTGGGGCCAGTTGACAGAAGGAGGATGAATTCTAGTCCCGCCTTAGACATGAAAGCCAATTGGATCTCTTTGGACCAATCACCAGGAGAGGGTGACTTCTAGTCCCGCCTTAGACATGAAAGCTGGCTGGGTGACTTTAGGCCATTCACCAGGAGACTGTGAATTCTAGTCCCGCCTTAGACATGAAAGCCAATTGGGTGATTTTGGGCCAATTGACAGAAGGAGGATGAATTCTAGTCCCGCCTTAGACATGAAAGCCAATTGGATCACTTTGGACCAATCACCAGGAGAGGGTGAGTTCTAGTCCCGCCTTAGACATGAAAGCCAATTGGATGACATTGGGATAGTTACCAGGAGACATTGAATTCTAGTCATCTGGGTGACTTGTACTAGTGTATAAATAGAGAGGGGGGAAAAAAAAACCCTACTCCTTTCTGGCACTGATGATGTAACCTAGTTGGGTCATGAAATGTCTGCAAGAAAACGAACGAGCTCAAAGAATACCAAGGATCCTACAGTCCTCCTCCTCCTCCTCTTCCTCTTCCACTACCATCTGCATCACCACTACTACCGTACCGTCACCGTCAACTCCTATCTTCCTCCTCCATTTTGCACACCCGCTCCCTTCTAGCACTGATGATGTTATCTAGCTGGGTCGGGAGAGGTCTGCAAGAAAGCAAGTTCAGAGAGCATCAAGGACCACATACCTAGTCTTCCTCCTCCT